TTTGCTGTCTCATGGGAATATTACGGGCTTCCATACAAAATAGTGCATGCCCCTTCTATGAGATATATGAAGTATTTTAGATAGTTTGATTAGGTTAGGTTGCTATGAAAAGCTGAGGCAGCTTAAAGTCTAGATTTCAAAGACAGGATTACTATGAAGGAGATGATGAAAACAAAAAAAAAAAAAAAAAAAATGCAGAAGCAGCTAACCAGCCCACAAGAGGCCACAAGTTGTACTTCAGAATCATCACAGGCTTTCCTAGAGTGATGAATGAAGCGTGTTAACCGAGATATAAAAGATACAAAGATACAATGCCTGAAAAATTCTGGGAGCTGACGAAAATTCTATTAAAATGAGATCCCGAGTGTAAGGGGCTGCAGCCCCTCTCTGAGCCCACTGCCTGCCAAGTGCCTGAAGGTGTTTTGCTAATGACTGACACAACTCCTGTGTTAATTAAGCTGATTATTGTGGCCTTTCTGCCTCCAGTAGCTATAATGAGCTATTTCTCTTATGCCTATTTTAAAATGCTTTTAACTTCACTGAGCTGTGTTTCTCACTTACTGTCCCCTGATTGCTGACTCACACTGAGTCAATTTAGATGACAGTAATTGGGTGGTGTTTACATAATGTCCCTTTCTTAGAAGTCACTGAAACAAGGCCTGATAGAAGGTGAGATTAAGCCACCAAGCAAACAGTGACTGAGTAAACACTGAAATGCATCCGTTTCAGTAAAGATTACCTCTATTAAAAAAAAAAAAAAAAAAGGTGTCGGTAATTCTATTGTTCTGATATACATCTCCTTCAGGAGAGGCAAAATAAACACCACTTGGCTCAAGTATATAATTGACATTTGTAATGATTTTAGAGGAAAAGAACATCCTCAGAACACTTACAGAGCCAATCCCAGTGTCAGTGCCCCTGGCACTGTAATTGCATTCCCCAGCGACAGTGACAAGCATCAGCTGGCAGCTCCTGCAGGAAAACAGGACAGCGATCTGAGCAGCAGCCCAGCACTTCCCTGGGCTGCCCTATCAGTATCAATGTAATTCACTTGGAAGGCAGCCAGAATTCTCGCTGCAAAGTTTAAAAGCTGTTAATTACTTCTGCTAGTTCATGCTTGAACCATTTCCGCTCCAGTCCTTCAAATATTTTTTAATAATAATCCCTCAAGTCACCCAGCCATTCCTGCTTTTGAATAATAATAGCACCAAAAAATTCCACAGTAATGCAGCTGAAACTCCCTAGATACAAGTTTATGGAAAACTTTTCCAAAATTATTGCTACTTGTTTGACATCTTTCTAAAATAAATGTATGCTATCACAAGGCCATACCAGTGCTCATAGTTTTTAAAATTTATTTATTTCGAAAATCAAATATGCTTAAATTCTTGAGGTTGGGAGAAGCTGGACTCCTCTTAGGTGCATATAAAGGAAAAATTATGAGTGATAAAAGAAAATTATTTGCAGGAAGGCAAGAGAACTGAGAACTGGGATGAAGAAAACCAGTCAAAAAAAGTACCACTACATGTTTACTACATACGAATCATTATCCTTCAGGGCAAAAAAAGGTTCCCTCCCTGCTAGGAACTATATTCGTAATTTGTTCAGAATTACAAATATATATTTGTTATATATATAGTTTGTATATATATATGTATACAAACGATGTTTGTAATTTGTTCAGAACCTTTGGTCATGTCATAGGAGGATATCCCCCTTCACAACCTTGCCCTTTACTCCCCACTGTCCTTCAGGAAAGAAACACCTGGGTGAAGTTGCTTGAGCCTGTTAATCACGTTATTGCTTGAATTTGCTGTTTACCACATTAATAACCGAAATCACTGTGGAACACCCCTGTTCCTGCCCATCCATAACTTGGCCATGCTGGGCTGCTTAGGAAGTTGGGACATGAAGTGCCATGTATTGCTGGCAAATTCCCCAGAGGCTGCCCTGGCAAGCACCCACCTCTGCAGGCAGGGAAGGAAACAGCCTCTGTCAGCTCCTCAGCTGGATCCCTGCTGGTTTCACTCTGCAGCACTCCGGGGGCCCTTGTCTTGTCCCTGGCACTGAATAAATCACAGCCAGCCATCAGGGGTGGCAGTAGGATGTTTTACACCTTGCAGGAATAGTTAATTTTTTATCTCCTGTCCTGCACAGCAGAGCTGAGCCACTCTGAGCCCAGTGTCTTCCTGCTCACACACTTTGTGAGGCAGGGGAAGCCCCTTGACAACCAAAGGCCTTCAGCAGGAGGTCTTTGAATGGTCATGAGCATCATTCCAGAGTCTCTTAAAACCTCAAAGCAATTTTATTTTTTAAAGCTATTTAATTATGTACATTTAATTATATACATTACGTACAACTGTATGTATGAGACCATGCACCTGTAAATTTTTTACCAGTGTATTATATTGTTCATACAATATTTTAGCTTTTTTTTTTTCCTTACCAAGTTAGATTTCTGGCCTTTACATAAAGACATGTAGAAATGTTTGATTTGGTTTTCAAGTGAGACCATTTAGGTAAATATTCAATCTCATTTAGATAAGCTACATTAATTAGAGAAAAATAATGCAAAATAATGTAAAATGCGATTGCAAAGACACATCAAATTATTAAAACAGTGGATAGGTTTTCCCAATCTTACCTTTTAAAAAAAAAAAACACCTAGAGAGCTGTATTATTAATGCCATAGCAGTAAGTTTCAAGTGATGAAGTATGAGACAAGCAATAAAATAAAAAATAAATTTATTCCACTATTGGCAGTAACTGAAACTTTTCCTTGCAGTGGAACACAATTATTTCATTTCTGAGGCCTTCTCCCCTCAGATCACAGATACCTGTTCATTAGGGTTGGCTTTAACTGATTTACAAAGTTGCACCATTACTCACAGGTTTTCTGCACTTATTTTAAAAGTCAGGATCACATAGTGGGTATCAGGTATTTAATGTACTCTATAGTTTAAAATACATTTAAATATTTTCTTTCATGTCATGCCACATCTTGTGTATCTCCCAGTGAAAAGCTCCAACTACCCATCCATTTAATCTGGACCTATGCAATTCTGGCAGTTTCAGAACATTTCTGCAAACAGTGTTCTCTTGAACAATGTAGACACAGCCTACTATAAAATGCAGAATACCTTTACAGCTTGGTGGCTGAAGACTTGAAATGTACCTGTCATTCTCAACAGCACAGAATTCTGACAGAATTATAGGCAGAAAATGCAAAAAATACATCCTAAAATGTGTTATTACATGTATAATCTTACTTTCTAGTATTCTAGCAATACTTTTCTACATAAGAACTGATTTGGACTGTTGGGAATTTTTTGTTTGTTTGTTTTAAATGCCACAACAACAGTCAAAGCAAAAAAAAACCCAACAAAATCCGTATTTCAATTCTGATGTATAAATTCCACCCAGGACTCCAAGGTCCCATATTACTATGGTGGTTTTGATTAAATAATACCTTGCACATATTTGAAGAAAAATAGCATTTTCAGATAAGACTGCTTACAAGAAACATTTAAACTATTATGGTTTTGTTCCATTTTTGCATTTTCCATTTGAAATGACACAAAATAGGTCATGACATCACAAGATGATAAACTATTTATCCTACAGTTTATTTTAAACAGCAGACAAATTCATTCCTGAAAACAATTCATATGCATGAGTTAGTGCTTTGTGTTAAAGAAAAGCACGAGATCAATTTTACCATGTTTTTGGGCAGTTAAAAACAGGTTTTGGGTTTGGTTTGGCATTGCAGCTTTTAGTTAAACGAAATTCCTTGCTTCATACAAATACACTCACATGTGCACACACAAACATCAACTACACTAAAAAAGAGATTAAAATACCTGATCATCAGCAAACTGAAGAAGGGCTGCCATGGAGTCAGCACCAGGAGAAACTATTAGTGTCAGTGCTTCGAGGGCCCAGGTTATGAATGATAAATTCTTCCACCATTGGTATTATCTGGAGAAAGGAAAGAAAATAAAGTGTCCTATTTTCATGTAACACATGTTACTCTAAATATCTGAATATAAATTTCAAGGACAGTATTCCTGCATATAAAAGAGATACCAGTACAGTCCCAGAGGAATCAATGATGTAGCATTTGTAAATCTAGGAAAAACAATGCCCTAAGAGCTGACATTGGAAGTCCTATACAAATGTTCTTTTATCTCATTTTTGTCACCACATCTGGACAGAATAATGGGCTGATTATTTTCTGCACTTACTCCTCTTGTATTTTGGAGAAGATTTAAATTTTCAAGTCTCACAATGCAACATCCTTCAGAGGTGTTAAGATCTTGGCTTAGAAAGCTGCTGCCTGCAGCAGTTTTAAAGACACCGATGTTTAAACTTCTCCTGAATTTAACTGGACTCTGTACCAAAATAAGAGACAGTTGATAAAATGACAGCTTAATGCTTTGATACTGTAAACCCTTACAGATATACACCTTTAAAATATTATCATTCAGCATCTAGCCATGCTCCGTATTTTAAAATAGAACTGAATACTTATAACATTATAAAATAACCACCTCCTCTTTAAAGAAATGCAACAGTATTTGCAAAGACAATCCTAAGAATTAATCTCTGAATATGAAATTCAAGAAACACTGAAAGATTCACATAGCAATGTCAATTCAACCCTTTTGGTTGTAACCAGGATAATATTTTTAAAACTTTATCTGTAAAGTTTCTCTATTTGTAACTAGTTTTTAACTTGCAGTTTTTGACATTTCAGTTGTAAAATCTGCAATTACCATAGGTGCTTTCAGTTAAAATATATATAGTGTGGCCAAGGACACAGACTGTGACAGAAGAAGAAATGCCAGCAGCTCCCTAGATTATCCTGCCCATAAACTCACCTGTGTTAGGAAGGGACTAAGGCTCCTTTAGGCCCTCCCCTGCTCTCCAGGTGCAAAGTGTCACCAATCAGCAAAGGCCTTAAATGTGAGAGCAGGAGGGAGGCCCTGCCTCACACTGACTGCAGCCTTCTTAGATGGAGACCCTGCTGCAAGAGCTTAGCTCAGCTTCCAAGCTCTTAACTGACTTGAAGGAGATGTATGAATATGAGACCCGTTTAAAAACCTTCACCAAGTGGCCCTTCCAGGAAAACTGCAAGTGCACTCCAGAGAATGTAAGTCTGAAAATGGTTGTTTTGCCTCTGCTTTTATGTGCTATGTCTGAAAGTGAAGTCATGGTAAAATATATTCAGGTTCAAGAGGAGTCCACTAAGCCTGAAGATGAAATGTTAGATATTCAGCTTTCCTCTGTTCCCTGCTCAGAAATAGTGTCGTGGGATTGACTGGTTTTTCTGTGTTCAGTCCACAGTTTGCCTACAGATTTTAATAGTTACTGTTCTTGTTCCTTTTTTTTTTTTTTTTTTTTTTTTTTTTTTTTTTTTTTTTTTTTTTTTTTTTTTTTTTTTTTTTTTTTTTTTTTTTTTTTTTTTTTTTTNTTTTTTTTTTTTTTTTTTTTTTTTTTTTTTTTTTTTTTTTTTTTTTTTTTTTTTTTTTTTTTTTTTTTTTTTTTTTTTTTTTTTTCTGTCATTTAAAAAATAATTTCTGGCATTACATAGTCTTTCTAATTGCAGATTTCTATTAATGACAAAGCAGCCTACATTAAACAAGTATGGATCCATCAGGAAGGCTAAAGTAGTGGAAGGATCACTACTTCAAATTCAGAATGGATATTATTTAAATAAAAAATCCATCTAACTTCTACTTTGGCTTATATATGACACTGCCAGCCTGAATCTCAGATGAGTCATACTGCTAGTGTTACCTGAGAAGGTGTTTGGTTACTGAAACAAACCTAATTGTTGGTATTCTGACTATGTATGATTCTAAAGTGTCAGGAAATATGTGTACATATGAGCAGTGTGTGTGGGACAATGCTCTAAACTTCTAAACTGTCCCCTGCAGATGGCAAAGGCTGGCTTCATCCATTGTTCAAGTGCAAATGAACCCGATGTGGCAAAATGTTTCTTTTGCTTGTTAGAACTGGTGGGCTGGGAACCAAATGATGACCCATGGTAAGCACAGATGTAACAATGCTTTTGAGAAATATCTCTCTCTCTCTAGAAATTTTAAAATTAGTTAATATCCTTGTCATTTTCCACTATGACAGTTCACAAAACTGGAAGCTTATCTTGCCCAGTAACTGTGAAATTGTTCAACTAAAATCTATTTTATCTTTTCTGTATGTCTGCACAAGTACTGAAGAGACCTACCTTTACAGATCTCTTCCTCTTCTGCAATGAAACGTCTATGGGTTTAACATTTCTCTTATTCTGGGTTTACATTGCAGGGAGGAACACGCCAAACGTCACACCTGTGGCTTTTTATCCCTTCCTAAGCACTTTGATGAGCTGACAATGGAGGAGTACTACATGCTGGAGATGACACGGCTGAGGACCTTCATTGTAAGTGATAACCAGGTCATCTGAAATTCAAAGCTAGAATATAAGCAACACTTCTCTCGCTAAGATTTCCAAGCATCAGCCAGGAATGATTGTAGAAGGCTAGAACATGACTTATTCTGAAGTAACAATTTATGTGTGTTATTGGCTAAGAAATCTGTACCTAATAATTTCTCAGTGTAATTTGTTGTCTGGCTTTTGAACGTAAACCTGTTTCATTTAGAAGTGTTTTTCCCACAACTCATTACAGCAGAAAAAAAAAATATATATAGGGTGGGGTGCAATAACCAATGCACAAAACTCAACAATGACCAGCTCTACCATTCTCAGGAGGGACCAACAATACACATAAAAAGACAAAATTTGACCAGATTATTGCTTCGCATGTCCAGTTTAACACAGAAATCTGCCTAATTAAATTTTAGAGCTCATTTCAAATATTGTACTCCTCCCCACTTCTGGGATTTCATGCCATAGTGTTGACATGTAAAAGAAGCACACAGCTGAGCTGCTCAGTTGATCAAAATCAGCTGCTACATGAACCCTAATCCTATGGATAGTAAGAATCAAGTGAACCAAGTTCCCTAATGAGGAACAGTAAAAGGTTCTGCATATTACTTGTTGGTGGGTTTGCACAAATAAGATCTCTGCCCTGCTAATGTTCTATATTAAATATATACCTGGTGGATGTTAAGGTTAAGAATTTAAGGTCACTGTGCGACAGATTAAAGTACAAAAAATAGGATCATGTGGCACAGTGACATCTTAGAGGGTGGACTAAGAGTGAGAAATTGGTGTTACCTAACTTGAACTGTGAATGATTTAGAGCAATGTTTCAAGGTACAAAAGAGGTCTTGGCCGTAATATGACTGTATTTCTAAGGAGTGTATAAAAAATTTGAAGCAGCAGCTTCAGGTGGGGACACTTAGCCCCAAGGCTAGTCACCAATAGCTGGGAGGGCTGTGCACTAGGCTGACCAGGGTACAATTGCTATCATGAAGCACTGATACCTGAATGCAGCCTGAGGAGGGGGGCTTGGTATTTGGCTGAACTGCAGCTTCAGCTCAGCTGAAAGGCTCAATCTCTTGCTTTGATTCAAGTGCAAAGTTGGCAGCCGCACAATAAATTCTTTTCAAGAAGAAGTCGCGGCGACGAGGCAGAGGCTGGTGAACTACTTTGGCTCCAGACCCTCGCTGCCGGCAGCGCTGCATCCCGGGGATGAGCCTTCAGCCCAGCAGCCAGGAGGCTCAGCTGCCGGGCAGGAGGAGCCCGGGCCAAGTGAGCTGTGACGTCTGACTCTGCGAGTCTCATCCTTTGGTGCACACAGTCCTCTCTGTCGGAGAGAATCCAAAGATGAACAGGTGTGTGAGGAAGTGTATGTGGAGAACTACTGGATCAGAGCTCTCACAGTGTGCTTTCTTGGTATTGCTGTAGAGTAGTTCCACTACCCTGCTAGTGTATGAAAAAATGTCTAAGCAAATACTTCTATTCTGATTTTTAGCAAGCTGACTTTTTTTTGAATAAAGATTCACAACTGTGAGTACGTCTGTCATCTGTGTTAAAACTTGATACCTAGACTCAAATCAGAACAGTTCTGCTTCAAAACACTTTCCAGGGAACTAAATGGATCTGTGTGTCTGCAACAATTGCTTAGGCACCTGCATTATCTACACTCCTGCTTACCACTAAGCTGTCTTTCCAGATCAGGCAAAATTGACCCAGACAATGATATCAGCAAAAATAGCAGGTGTACCAAACAAGGGTAGACACAAGGTGTGTAAGACAGTCTCTAGGAAGAGCTCTGGGGATTTGGTGTGCAACTGAAACAACAAAAGCTAAAGTCCGACTACTCTGTTTTTAAAAGTTTTTCATTACAACTTCAAACTTGCTAGAGTTCTTTTAAAATCTTGTTAATTCCTATTTTTCTTTATGAGAGACTGTTATAGAATAAAAATGCATGCAACTATGTTTGATTTCTAAGATGCAGACAGACCCTGCTCAGTAAGGTGAAAGTTTTGTACACTACTTTGTCAACTCTCAGGCAGTGAATGAACAGCAGATTTTGAAACTCCCCTGACTTGTCTTCCCACTCTGCAAGAAGATCCTTATGCTGAGAAGCCTAAAAACATGTATTTCAACATTCTCAAAGCATTTATGAATTCCCTAGCTTGAGACTGAATTATCCCTTAACTTGATAGATCAATCCATGAAGTATTTTTTCTAAAGTTATAGAAATGAGGCTGATGTTTAAAAAAGCTTTAAAAAAAAAAAAAAAAAAAAACCATTTAAATACATGTTACTCTAAGAAGCTTCTTGTACAGCACAGGATTACTATCTTTGAAAGATTTGGAGTAATTTTTAAGTTTTTCTCTAGAAAGTGAAGAAATTACACAAGGAGGAAAGCGAGCATCCATTTTAGCTCCCTCTTTGTGAGGGCTCTACTCTTGTGCCAGTCTTTAAGGTTACAATATAACACATCATCAGTGACAGTCACACTACACTATTACTAAGTTAGGCTGCAGCTGAATGCAGAAAGTGATGGCAGAAAAACAAGAATGAGAAAATGAAAGCAAAGCACCAGAGAGCTTGGTTTGTAAATGGCCTATGCCCAACCCAGCTGTCATGTTATTGCAGCTCCCAGAGTGGGGACAGCTATAACCCCAGTATGCATAATGAAGTAGCTCCCCAACAGTCTCTTTTCCCAATGTCATCATTTCTCTGTTTATTTTCCAGGTGACTATTTCCCAAAGCACTAAAGTCCTCTACTTGCTGTATCTTTTTTTTGTAAATGCCAAAAAAAAAGCCTAATTTTCATTAGTTGCCCATTTCCTGAAATCTGGTCAAGTGAAGAAGCTTGTTTAGTTCCTTTAATGTCTTTCACTGTATTCTTTTATGAGCATTTCCAACCAAAAGTCCATTTTTTCTCTCTCTGCATACTACAGGCTATTTCTTTAATTAAAAAGTCTTTCTAAACCCTTGACATTTACAATGAAAAAAATACACAATTGATCTTTTTCTTTAAAGGGTCTAAGAGGTCCTGGGTCATTTGACTGAATATTGGTGATAGATTTTCATAATTTAAATTAACAGTACAAAAAGATAACTGGCAAAAGTGTTACCTGGACATGAAAGTAGTTATGGTCAGATATGGAGAGTAAGAAGGATAATTTTCTGTTTGTCTGAATACCTTGAACACCTCAGCCAAAATTAGGTGAAGTCCATTCAAGTGGTTTGAAATGCAGTGTAAGAATTTGCAGAAACTAATTCAAATTCTTTTTTCAAGTAGAAACAAAGATGTGGAAAAATCTCTATAGCTTTTTCCCAATTACCTAGGTTACCAAGCCCTTGGCAGAGAGCTACTCAGAGGATCATTCCTGTATTTCAGGCATGGTGATCATTCTGAGACCTAACTGTGATTTATTATCATTAAAAAGTGGAAATATTTTGACAGAAGATCAAGAATGAGAGCAAGGTATGTTGTTTGATCTGTGCTTCCTTTTCAGTCTTGTGTTTCAATCTGTTTCTCTTTTCTTTCATTCAGTTAACAAGAAAAGGATACTTTTTAATATTATCACTGTTATAATTACTGAGTTATTATTAGCATTAAGTCCTTTCAAAGTTATGGTTCCTCATCAGTTAAATAGATGTACATACAATTTATGCACAAAATACTGACATAAAGATGACTGTGGGACAAGATGTAAACTTCTTTCAAGTCACAAAAGTAACATGGTTTGCATGAGAAAATAGTGTGACTAGTGAAGGTAGCCCAAGTCAAACAGGGCTATGTGAATTATTAATTCACAGAGAATTTTCTGTGGGGCTGCCTACCTCTGCCTTTGCTGGTCTTGTGGCTTTCTTCAGCTGCTGCTGGACTCTGCTGAGTGCTTCTTGCCTTCACTGGATAAAATCATCACAAGGGGCTTACACCAAACATTCCCTGGGGATGACTGGTGTAATGCACAATGGCAGCTGGGATTCAGGTTCTGTATCTTCATGTTTCTGCTGACGGAAAGGTTTGGAATCAAAGTGAGGTAATTTTATTTGTTCCATGCTCCAATTTAGGCACACAGGGATACGGGGGATTGTTTGAGATATAAAATAGTAAGATTTAAAGTCAAAGAGTTAGATTTATAGAACACAGACTGACTTGGTGGTAAAGGTTACTTCAAAGGTACATTCAAATATGATCCCAAAATATTAAGCTCTGCCTAAAATGATTACTAGCAATATCTTTAACAGTTCTGCTAAACTTAGACTGCCCAGGCCTTTCCATGCCCCTAACAGGTAAAAAAGCCCGATGTAACTTTTGCATGTGAGGTGACTACTGTATTAAGTCTTGTAAATATTTTTTTTAAAAAAGGTAAGCAACTAACATCAGGAGATCCAGACTGGGAAAGGTGATTAAAGTAATTAATTAAATAAAACCCTAACTGGATGAAAGAATGTCAGAATAGCAAGATGAAGTATTAGACATGATAATGCCAACACTTGTGGTACCAGTCACCCAGCAGAGTAAAAAAAATGTTGGCAGGGGACTAGGAATAAACAAATCCCAGGAATTCTTCCCAGGTTTTAGCCAAGAAATCACTTTAAAATTAAAACAGAGTTGCACATTTGTTTTCACAATTCTCACCTTAACTGATTTTCCAGCATGATAATGTGTAGAAATATTATTATTATAATATTTAAAAAATTAATTGCAAGTTTCATAAAACAATTAATTATAAAAATTTAACAGATGATTATATTGTGCTAAGAAGCATCTTAGTATAGTTTTAAGTATAACTTGGAGTGAGGGCTTCAATAGTACTCACTTGATTCAAAACAAGGGGGTAAAAAACATATCTAGTTCCCTTGAGAACGCTGCATAGTCACGACTCTCATTTTTTAGCGAATTGTGCCCCCTCCAGGTCTTTCTGTAATTTACACTTTCATTAGTCATCCTTCCGGAATTGCCAGACTGCATGCACTTTTCCAGTGTTGTAATAAACTGCGGGTCTCCGAGTCTGATTATATGCAAACCATTGGCTTTTTCCATGTTCCTTATTCATTTGTTAGCTTGATATCTCCCTAAGGAGCCATCATCAGAGGCCATCTTCTTGCATTACTAAAGGGAGAAATACAAACTTTCAAAACTTCAAATGTTTACCTCAAAGTGCTTCTTAAGGCAATGTATTCCCTTCTGTCATCACAACAAAAGCACATCAGTATGAAATCATAGCAAGCACATATGCAGTGCAATTCTTGATGAATTTAAGAGGAGATAGATGAATCCTAAGGTTCTTTGTTTACAAAAAAAAAAAAATTTTCCTCCTTGAGAGAATGCATTTAGAATAAGAGTTCTTACTTGCTAGAAAGTTTAATCACATTTAGTTTTATATTTAACTCAATAATATCCCTCTGAAATTTTGAAGAGCTTTAATACAGTTGCATGCATAAGTGAGTATTTTCAAGTAAAAACAAAGGGAATTTTCCACTAATAATAATTAGAGGGAAATTTAGTAGGAATAATTAGTGGGAATTTTCCACTAATAATTTTCCACTTTCTTCTTGTGGAAGAAAGCCTAAATTTAGGAGAGGAAGTTTTGGTGGAGAAATGTACCATGAATGGCAGTAACATTCTCTGTTATGGATCAGACACTGTCCTTGGGAATGACACATCATCAGCTGAAGGATGATGTTCTCTAATATCAGTCCAACACACACAGCTTTCATCATCTATAAAATCCTTCCTCATTGATGGGAATCTATAAGCAGTCACTGGATATGTTTGCAAATTATCCTTGATTGCTCACTAATTCTGCTTTTGAAAAAAAATTGTTGTTACAAAAAGTTGAGTTGCATTTTACACTGTTCCTGTAGTCCTAATATCCAGCCATAAACTCAAAACTACAGGCATAATATGCACCATCAATTTGAGGTAGATTCTATCTCATCTTTCAAAATTAAAAGCTATCATTATTTAGTTTTAAAATGCTAATCATCTTTCCATTAGTTCAAAAAGAATTCTGATCAAAGTTGTGTAAAAGTGAAATGGAGGATGAATTGTACAAGTGTTGAATTCATTAACATTTGTCGACTGTTTAGCCTGAGTGATTGAATTATTAATACAGTAATTACTTGAAAAAAATTACATATACAATCAGAATGCCAGCATACATCCTTCTCATTTCAACAAGTAGTTGTACAATCAATGTACAATCAATGCCCTATATCTGTAGTATTTCTAGTGCCAAAGTAAGTGCATTGCAGGAAAAGGGGAAATAGGGATAATATCCAAATTCTATCTTCAAATGACAGACTGATTTGCTTGTCTCTTAATTTTTAGCAATTTTCATTAACCTGGACCTGATTTTCAAAATAAGTAGACATTAAGTTCTTCAGCTGAATTCAGTGGCAGGTTTTGGTGTTCAAAAACATTCAAAGTCAGGGCAGTCTTGACACCCAAAAATTCTTACAGATAAAAATTATCTGCCATGTTAACATTTTTCTGTATTCTGAATTTCTGTTTATTTCACTGAGAGTTATAGGCAGA